TATCTAAAATAGTATAAAAACATTAAATATATAGGAATAAATAGAGCAAATATATATATAAGATCTGTACACTGAAAAATATATAACATTGCTGAAAGAAATGAAGGAACAACAAAATAAATGGAGAGAAAAGCCACCATTATGAATTGGAAGATTCCATACTGTAAAGACTACAATTCTCCCTGAAATAAGGTACAGATTCAACACAGTATCAGTCAAAACCCCAGCAGTCCTTTTTATAGAAATTGACAAGCTGATTCTGAAATTTAAAAATTGAAAAGGACTCAGAATAGCCAAAGTAATTTTGAAAAAAAGAACCAAGTACAAAATATCACACTAGCTGATTTCAACACTCACTATAAAGACCGAAAGTAATGGCATAAAGGCAGACACCTAGATCAATGGAATGTGGTAGAGAAATTGACTTACACAAACTGGGAGAAAATATCTGCAAAATATATATCTGATTAAGGACTTGTATCAAGAATATATAAAGAATTTTTACAATATTAAGAAGGTAAATCTGAATATTTAACCAAAGTATAAGAATGGCAAATAAGCCATGAAAATATACTCAAAATCATTAATCATTAGGATTAAATCAAATGCAAATTAAAACAATAGTGATATTATACCTACATTATCAACTAGAAAAGCTAAAATTAGGAAGACTCATAATGCCAAGTATGGATGAGAACGTGGAACAACTAGAACTCTCAAACACTGCTGATGGGAATGCAGTATGGTACAACTGTTTTGAAAAAGTTTCTTACGAAGTTAAACACACTTATTATACAACTCGGCAATCCCATTGCAAGTATTACTCAAGAAATGAGGATTTGGGAATTCCCTCGCAGTTCAGTGGTTAGGAATCTGGGCTTTCACTACCGAGGAGGGCCTGGGTTCAATCCCTGGTTGGGAAACTAAGAACCAGCAAGCCGTGAGGCATGGCAAAAAAAAAAAGTGAGGATCTAAAAGTGTTGTACTGTATTTTTGCCAAAGTATAAATTAAAAGTTTTGTTATTTATATCTTCTTTATTTGCCATCAGCGCTATTCAAAAAACATTTTTTTTAGTCTACTACAACTACTTGGGAAACCCACCCACCCTAACTTTGAAGTCAGTAACATTCAATTACAATTATTAAAAAAACACACCACTTAGAACAGCTTTGTGAACCTCAAGCCAACACTCATTAGTGGATATTCTACTGGGTCAACACCAACATTTTTAACAACACGATATGGAACAGAAAAAAGAATGCACCACACCTAGTAAGGGTAAATGTCATTTGGGGAATCTTTTATTTTAGTTATGTGTATCACAAGTTGCCATGTAAATGTATTTTTACTGTGGATCATGGTCAAAACATTTGAAAAACACTGACATAAAACATACCTGAAATATAAATTTTGTGCTACCAGAAGCTCCTATCCCTTTTAAGCACTTTCATTCTATACCAAGTAGGAATGAAATCTACAGTAGAGCTATTCAATTGTCTGCTGTTGTTATGATTGATAACATGCATTTGGTGGCCTAATCTGCAGGAATTAACAGCATATTCTATTACAAATATTTGTCATATTTAACTGTCATTATTAACTATTAAAATCAAACCTTTTTTAGCTTTCATTGAAATTTTAAGACTAAAGAAACAAAATACAAATACTTCACTAACTTTTCCCCAGTAGTTAACAAGGAGGAAAAACTCAGAATTTTCTGACCCTCATAACATATGTTTTAACCCGGCAACACTTTATGAAGAACTCGGTAAGTCTGAATATAGATGTATTCAAGATATGCTAAAGACTAATCTAAATGCAAAATTATCCATTTCAGTACATACTGACCCTAACGATATTCAAAGGACACAGACTTCCTAATCGCCTGAACAAAAAGAGATTTCAATCTCCACTATAAGGCTGTCACTGGCTTAGTGGTATAGTCTGAATGTTCGTGTCCCCCCATCACCCCACCCGGACCAATTCCTCTGCTGAAATCCTAATTAGGAGGTGGGAATCTTCGGGAGGTGATTAGGCTTGGATTAATGCCCTTATAAAAAAGATCCCAGAGAATTAGCTCACTTCTTCTGCCTTGTGAGGTTATGGTGAAAAGATGGCTATGAACCAGGAAGCAGGCCCTCACCAGACTCAGAGCCTGACCATGTGAGCACCCTTATCTCAGGCTTCCAGCCTCCAAAACTTTGAAAAATAAATTTATGTTGTTCAAAAGCCACCCAGTTTATGGTATTTTGTTACAGCATCCCAAGTTAACCAAAACACTGCCTAATCATAACTTAAACACTTTGTATTAAACATATAATACATTAGGGCAAACAACTCCCTTGAAAATTTCCCTTAAATTGCTTTTTGTTAGTCAATTACTGTCTTTAATTTAGAAGGGTTAGAAAGTGTAAATTCAAATTGTATGCAAGCCTGTCTAAAATGAGAGAAATAGGAAGAGAAAGAAGAAATGTACAGATAATTTCTTTTATAAGTAATGTTTATCTCTATAAAACTATAATGAAATATGGATGGCTAATAAATTATTATAACAATCACTGAGTTCCAAAAGCACTACTCTATAACTAGTATACGGTATCTTAAGAAACATTTAGACGTACAGGTGTCTCTGACTCTGGACTTTGACAACTGCTCTTTAAAAAAATAAATCCTCCATTGAAATTTAGATCGGGCTCATAAAGATTACAATCCCTGGCCTAGCCTCTGAGTTCATGCTAGACAAACACTTCATTGGTTCAGGTGAATCTTGTGAATTTGTGGGCTATAAGTAAACATATACATCTTCTTCTAAATAACACATGACAAATTATCTTTATTCTCACAATATAAAAGGATGTTTTGTGAACTGCAATTTTTTTTGATGGGAGGAAAAGAGAAAATTAACCAAATTTAAATAAAATCACCTGTAAAACATGAATACTACTATTGAAAAGGCACATGCTATGGTTAATTTGAAATGCACATGTTACAAGAAAAATCTGTCAATTGCTTCTATCCCAATTTTACTGTTATTTAGAAGTAATTCATTATTAGAAATACAAATAATGGAGATAAATTAGAAAAATATTTAACCTACAGTACTATAGATAAACAATCAAAATGTTTAAATATTGAAGTCCCCCCCCCAAAAAAATCTACTTACTTTTTAAAACACTTGGACTTCTTAAAAAAAAGACTTTATAAGAGTACTTCAAAATATCATTTTTTTTAAATCTCATTAATTCAGGCAATACCAATGTGGATTTTGCTGTTTCCTGCTAAGCCAAGATTAGCACTGGAGTGTGAAAGAGACGGATAAACTAAAGGTGTAAAGAAAGTCTCCTAAGGCTAAGAAATTACTCTTCAAGCTATTTTTGAATATTTAAAAAAAACACTTTTAAAGGATGTGCTAATTATAAAGTATATATTACTACCACATTTAAAATATTATGTAAGATATGGAATTTCCTGCATGAATATACATATATTTGAAAATCTATAATTTCGACTTTCTACTAAAGACAGTGGACTCTTACTCTTCAATTCTCCTCCACCCAACACACGAACTCCACTCCCATTATGGAGCTAGAAGAGGAAGAGAAAAAGAAAATGTATGGTTTTATATTTTAATTGACTCTATCATAGATACAGCTGAAGTAACTGAACCAGCAGAAAACATTAATATATAAACCTACATATAAGTACTACTTATTTAAATGCTCCAACTAATAGAGATAAAGGACCACATATAAATTCATTGGTGTAGAACACAAGTTTTTTTTATTAAGCTAAAGTTAAGCTCTTTCTCAGCAAGTAAGTATTAAAAGCAATATTGCACATCTTTTAGGTGAATGGTTTAAAAAACACTCTCTATTGATATTAAACTTTAAAATGATTCATCACCACTCCAGGTACTTATCCTAGAACAAATGCACAAAAAGCATGTGCAAGGAGGTTCACTGTAGTGCTGTTAGTAACAGCAAACGTCCAAAAGAAGAAGAAAGGCTGAGTCGACGATGATACCTTCATACTGTTAAATACTCTGCAATAGTTTAAAAGACTGTATAGAGCTATTTTTACTGCCATGCAAAGATCTCCAAGATGTTATGTAAAAACAAAAAAAAAAGTTGCAAAACAGTTGTTTACAGTATGACACCATATATTCAGGTCACACACACACTCCTACAGCATTTCTATATGTACACATGTGCTTGTAAGAATTCAAAGAAAAAGGTCTGGAAGAATATTCAGGAAACAGAGAACACTGTTACCTCTCAAAGAGTGTGTGTGTAAAACTGGAATGGGAGAAACCACAAGGATTTGTGCTTCATTCTTATTAAGTTTTTACAAGGACAATGTATTCATGTCACTTGAGACACTAAAAAACAGGAGCAAGGGGAAAAAAATGCCTGCTAACTTCTCTCAAATAACTCACAAACCAGAACTGTTAGGTGTAGCGAAATTTCATTTTCTTTTATTGATTTTAAGTCAAAACCAAATGACATCAACAAATACCTAGCAAAAAGTAACAAAATTGCAAAGAAAAAAATTTTATTGATGTTGTCTTATCTTCAAATTAAAAAAAAAAAAGAAAAAGAAAAAAGAGTAATGAAAAGATTGCAGAGGAAGGAAGAAAAAAGACCCCTACTAAATCCGTCCACTTTTAGCTCAGGCGTGACCCAGAATCCTCACAAATCCACTTTACGCAAAACGAAAAGAACTGGACTACCGTTCCCTCAAGTATCGAAGGTTGTTTTTAGAAAGCTTAACTAAGTAACAGTAAATGCCAAGTGTGTTTCACAGGGGTGGGAATGGGAACGTGAAACCCTACACCTCCTTAAAGCGGTCGAAACCACCGAACAGCAGAGTCCAACTGGGAAAGCGCGCGGGGGAGGGGAGAGCTCAGCTATCACTTTCAGGTTTTGGCTCGGAGCCGCACAACAGTTTACACCGAGTCTGTTTGGAGCGTGGAGTCCCCGAGGGTGGTCAGCGCGTCGCCACGGACACCTAAGCCCTCCCGAGACTTTAGGGGACGGGCGGTCAACACAAACTTAGGTCCTTCGGCTGAGCGAGGAGAGCGCTGAAGAAGAGCAAAAGCGCCAACTTTTGCTCTAAACGCGGCAGCTCGGGTAGGTTCGACAAGTCTTCTCCCGAGTCCCACTCCAGAAGCGACCCCAACACCTTTCTCGGCCAGTACCGTCTGCCCCCTGTCCGGCCCCCCGAAGGAAAACCCAGTAAGGGCGGCGGCTGGCAGCATGAAAGGGGGACTTAGCCATGGGAGGACACGGGCACGGGATCCGTCCGCCAAGGTCCACCCAGCACCTCGGCGTCTCCGGGGCGTCCCTGCCCAGGCGCTGTCCCACCTCCAATAGCCCCAGCGGCGTGGCCCCCTCCCCCACTTCTGGGCGGCGACCTCGGCGCCTCCGCCCCAGGGCCCCCGCTCACCCAGGTAGCGGCTCCGCAGCCGGGACGGGTCCTCCAGCCCGAGGGACCTTTTCCTCACGTCCCACAACAGGTGTGGGCAGCAGCCACCTCGAGACATGGCTCCGCCGGGCCGGGGGAGGAGAGAAGACCACCGCGTGGGGGAGGGGAAAGGGGGGAGGGGACACGCGGATCAACACCCGAGCCGCACCAGCACCATCCGCGCGACGGGCCTCGCGGTAGCAGCGAGTTAGATGGCGGTGGCAGCGGCAGCGCCTTCGCCCCCGAAGCCCGGCCGCACCCGGGCCTGAGCTCGCCTCATACTCTCCTGCTCAAGACTACCCAGAACATCCAGAGATCAGCAACTGTTCCCTCCCTCAGCACCCCCTCCTACAGGAGGAGGTGGAGGAGGCGGAGGCGGCCTCGACTCCTCCCTCTCCTCATTCTCGACACCCTCCCTTTCAAGCCTTTCTCGCGAGATGACGACAACCCTGGAGACTGAGGCAGGTGTGTGCCAGGGCTGCCCTTACCCTAGAAAAGTGGGTTCAGACCACTCTAGTCAAATCCTTAATACTCTGGATAAATGAGGAATAGAGACGGAAGAAGCTGAAATCGGAAGTCTCGCGCTCACGAGTCTCATTCCAAAGGAAGCAACAGAGTTGTGCGGCGTCATCTTTAGTCGGGTCATGGAAGGCCCGAAAAGCCCATTTTATCTAGGGGCCTCCTTAACCAAAGTGAAAGGGGATTAGCGCCGGTGCAGCTTCACTTTCCCTTCTCCAACATGGCCTCCGGGCCAGGAAGAAGAAATTGTAGGTTTGGTCTGGACCCCGCCCACGCCCCGGGGCAGGCCAGTCACCGCGGGCCGCCCTGCTTGCGCAAGCGCGCTCCCGGTAGGGCGCCGGGTTGACTCGGTGAGGCTGTCTTTTTGCCACCTGTTTCCGTGACTCCTCCTCCCTCTAGGCAGTCGGAGGCCAGGAGGCGGGCTCGGGGCGGGCCGTCGCAGAGTCTCCGCCCCCACAATCTTCTCTAGGCGCGGGCCGTCGGGCGGTTCACAGGGGAGCAGGCTGAGCTGCCTTGGGGGAGAGGAGGGCGCGAGGCGTTGAGACAGGGGAAAGTGACGAGCTGCCCTTCATTGCCAGCCAGGGAGGAGCACACGGCCGCTGCCTTACCTGGCTGCCCACGATCACTCGTCCGCAGAAATGTCAGCCGCCGGCGCCCGGGGCCTGCGGGCCACCTACCACCGGGTCCTTGATAAAGTGGAGCTTCTGCTGCCTGAGAAACTGAGGCCGTTGTACAACCACCCGGCAGGTAATGAACCCAGAGTGGCTCCCACCGAGACCTTCCCTCCCTGTCCCTTCCCTCCGTTTTGAGGCCCACTGACAACTCTGCTGCTGGAGGCATCACCCACAGCCCCAACCCCCTTCCCTCAAGAGAATCCGTGTACTTTCCCATGCTCCCTGCTTTTCATGTTTTCTTTTCCAGCATCTCTCATAAACTCGTTATTTTCAAGTCTGCGACCTTTGTCGCACCCCTTCCCTTAGGCACAACTCAGACCCGGACCGGGCCTCTGGGTTTGATCCTTCTCCATTTCTGCGGCCAAGAAAGGGTCTGGGCCACCAGGAAACCTCATTCTCTCCTCTTTCCCTCCATGAGTAGTGGTATATTGACCCACGCGGAGAAGAGCTGTCTTTCCGCCCTGGAGGGTTTGGAGTAAAGGTCATACTTTCTTCAGCTCCAGCTGACAGGCCTGCAAAAGTGTTAACCGGTTTCTGAGTCAGTGTCATTCCTTGCCCCATAGGTCTAGTTTGTTTAAGTCTATCCTTATTTATGAAATTACTACTGAACAAGCTCTCCCTGGACCTTTTTGTGTGGACAGACCTGGTTTTAAATTCTGCTCTGCTGCTTACTATCGATGTGACCTTGGGCGAAATCCTAGATCTTAGTTTCTGTAAAATGTGATCGATGTGAGAGTTAAAGATAACGTATGTGTTTGATTCTTCATAAATGCTCAGTAAATGTTAGCTCTCTCTTTAACCTATTGGAAAACAATGTTCTTGTGGTTGAAAAAAATAATTCTATAAGAAACTGGAAGATCCCAATTCTTCCAACTCTATCTCCCCACATATCTGACTATGAAGAAGCTCTTGGGAATGTGAGATGGTTACTAAATCTAATTTCCAGTTTGATAATGGGGTGAACTGTGTCTTGGAATTATACTTTAGTATAATATTACTTGTTGCAGTAGTTTACCCCTTATAAAATTGATCTTTAAGGAGAGGTTTTTATTGATGAAGAAGCTTATTTAGTTTATTTGCCTTTTGGTTCTTTTAACACGCAATTTTTGGAATTGTGCTGTGTTTTGTGGCAGAGATTTTCAGGAGGGAGAATTGGGCAATGCTTCTGTAATAATCTGGGCTTCAGACTCAACTGAATTCTGTGTAGTCAACCCTGACCCTCTTAAGCTCTGTGTTTGGGTTGTAGGATAAAGACAGGATAGAGGAGGAGCAACTTTAAACTACTTTAAAACAGAATTGGAGGGTAGTTTTATAGTGATATTTTGCAAGACCTTGGCTTTAACCACGTATAATCATTCTTTATAATACTTTATTCGACTTTTATAATGAAAAGGAATTATCTTTCATTTGAGATTTGTTAGTAGATTGTGCATTTTATCTGGATACTCTTGGACTAGTTCAGTTATTGTAACCCTTTTTTTCAGTGTAATGGAAGGAGCATAGGCTTTGAAGCCAGACTGACCTGGATTTGAATCTTGGCTGTGTGACCTTGACCCCAACCTTTAGTTCTAATCTATGAAATGGGGATAATAATTATCACCATTTAAGGATTGCTGTGAAAGTTAAGTGATGTATTGTCTGTAAAACATGTAGCAGTGTTTGCACGTAGACTCTCAACAAATGTTGGTGTTAGTTCCCTCTTATTAAGCTTTTCACCAATATGCAGAGTAAGAATACCTATCACTGCAAAATTATTTGTGATTAAAATGTTGTAGGGTAGGCACACCATTGTAGAAATGAAGAAACATGAAAAATATAACTGTTGATTGATTCATAAGTATTCAATAAAATCTGAGGAAATACTGATTATTGTTCCAAGAGTCATCAGAGTGAATATTCAAGGATTTTGTGTACTATTTTGCATAATAGTATGTTATTGAATCATTATATTAAACATTAGAGTAGATTCACATACTGGAGGTTTTTACAGTAATATGCAAGGCTAAATTTTTGAGATTTCATTGTATCATTGACAAGTACGTTGAGACAGGTTACAAGAATATGTCTTTATATAAATATATATTAGAGTAGAATATTGCATTATATATAGAGTTAGACCTGTGGCCTTCATCATCCATTTATCTACAATATTGTCTCTGGCACAGAATGATCTACTTCTGTAGAGTAAGAATAGTGTTCTATATACATAGAGAATCCTAAAGAGGCTACCAGAAAACTACTAGAGCTAATCAATTAATTCGGTAAAGTAACAGGATACAAAATTAATGCACAGAAATCTCTTGCATTCCTGTACACTAATGATGAAAAATCTGAAAGAGAAATTAAAGAAACACTCCCATTTATCATTGCAACAAAAAGAATAAAATACCTAGGTATAAACCTACCGAAGGAGACAAAAGACCTGTATGCAGAAAACTGTAAGACACTGATGAAAGAAATTAAGTATGATACAAACTGATGGAGATATACCATGTTCTTGGATTGGAAGAATCAACATTGTGAAAATGACTATACTACCCAAAGCAGTCTACAGATTCAGTGCAATCCTTATAAAACTACCAATGGCATTTTTCACAGAACTAGAACAAAAAATTTTACAGTTTGTATGGAAACACAAAAGACCCTGAATAGCCAAAGCAATCTTGAGAAAGAAAAACGGAGCTGGAGGAATCAAGCTCCCTGACATCAGACTGTACTACAAAGCTACAGTAATAAATACAGTATGGTACTGGCACAAAAACAGAAATATAGATCAATGGAACAGGATTGAAAGCCCAGAGATAAACCCACGCACATATGGTCACCTTATCTTTGATAAAGGAAGCAAGAATATACAATGGAGAAAAGACAGCCTCTTCAATAAGTGGTGCTGGGAAAACTGGATAGCTACATGTAAAAGAATGAAATTAGAACACTCCCTTACGCCATGTACAAAAATAAACTCAAAATGGATTAAAGACCTAAATGTAAGGCCAGACACTACAAAATTCTTAGAGGAAAACATAGGCAGAACACTCTATATAATAAATCAGAGCTTGCTTTGGCAGCACATATACTAATATTGGAATGATACAGAGAAGATTAGCATGGCCCCTGTGCAAGGATGACATGCAAATTTGTGAAGCGTTCCATATTTTTAAAGAAATTATACTCCAATAAAGATGTTTTAAAAAATAATAATAAATAAATAAATCACAGCACGATCCTTTATGACCCACCTCCTAGAGAAATGGAAATCAAAACAAAAATAAACAAATGGGACCTAATGAAACTTAAAAGCTTTTGCGTGGCAAAGGAAGCCATAAACAAAACGAAAAGACAGGCTCAGAATGGGATAAAAATATTTGCAAATGAAGCAACTGACCAAGGATTAATCTCTAAACTATACAAGCAGCTCATGCAGCTCAATATCAAAAAAACAAACAACCCAATCAAAAAATGGGCAGAAGACCTAAATAGACATTTCTCCAAAGAAGATATACAGATTGCCAACAAACACATGAAAGGATGCTCAACATCACTAATCATTAGAGGAATGCAAATCAAAACTACAGTGAGATATCACTTCACACCAGTCAGAATGGCCATCATCAAAAAATCTACAAACAGTAGGGCTTCCCTGGTGGCACAGTGGTTGAGATTCCACCTGCTGATGCAGGGGACACGGGTTCATGCCCCAGTCCGGGAAGATCCCACATGCCGCAGAGTGGCTAGGCCCGTGAGCCATGGCCGCTGAGCCTGCGCATCCGGAGCCTGTGCTCTGCAACAGGAGAGGCCACAACAGTGAGAGGCCCGCGTACCGCAAAAAAAAAAAATCTAGAAACAGTAAATGCTGGAGAGGGTGTGGAGAAAAGAGAACCCTGTTGCACTGTTGGTGGGAATGTAAATTGATACAGCCACTATGGAGAACAGTATGGAGGTTCCTTAAAAAACTAAAAATAGAACTGCCATATGACCCAGCAATCCCACTATTGGGCATATACCCTGAGAAAACCATAATTCAAAAAGAGACATGTACCACAATGTTCATTGCAGCACTATTTACAACAGCCAGGACATGGAAGCAACGTAAGTGTCCATCGACAGATGAATGGATAAAGAAGATGTGGCACCTATATACAATGGAATATTACTCAGCCATAAAAAGTAACGAAATTGAGTTATTTGTAGTGATGTGGATGGACCTAGAGTCTGTCATACAGAGTGAAGTAAGTCAGAAAGAGAAATCAAATACTGTATGCTAACACATATATATGGAAGCTAAAAAAAAAAAAATTGGGGCTTCCCTGGTGGCGCTGTGGTTGGGAGTCCACCTGCCGATGCAGGGGACACGGGCTCGTGCCCCGGTCCGGGAAGATCCCACATGCCGCGGAGCGGCTGGGCCCGTGAGCCATGGCCGCTGAGCCTGCGCGTCCGGAGCCTGTGCTCCGCAACGGGAGAGGCCACAGCAGTGAGAGGCCCGCTTACTGCAAAAAAAAAAAAATTGGTCCTGACGAACCTAGGGGCAGGACAGGAATAAAGACGGAGATGTGAGGACACGGGGAGGGGGAAGGGTAAGCTGGGATGAAGTGAGAGAGTAACATTGACATATATACGCTACCAAACGTAAAATAGATAGCTAGTGGGAAGCAGCAGCGTAGCACAGCGAGATCAGCTCGGTGCTTTGTGACCACCTAGAGGGGTGGGATAGGGAGGGTGGGAGGGAGACGCGAGAGGGAGGGGATGTGGGGATTTATGTATATGTATAGCTGATTCACTTTGTTATACAGCAGAAGCTAACACAACATTGTAAAGCAATTATACTCCAATAAAGATGTTAAAAAAAAAAGAAAAAGAATAGAGTTCTAACCAAATGTGTGTCCTAGTAAGTTCAGTTCTCATAAGATATGTCACTCCCCCCACCATCTCCTGACTATAAAAGTATTTGACTCGACACTAACCAGCTGCATAGCTACCCTCTAGATATTTGTTCAAAGAAATAACCTTGAAGTCATGCTGCCCAGTGTTTACTTAAAAGCTTAGTTGGGGAAAAAAATTACTAGTGGAGTGTCA